ACCCAGCGACGCCCCCCCGTCCCGCCCAGGTGAACAGCCCTGACTCGGACCGGCGGGACAAGAAGGGGGGCAACTACAAGAAGCGAAAGCGCTCGCCCTCACCCTCGCCCACCCCAGAGGCCAAGAAGAAGAATGCGAAGAAGGGGTGAGCCTGGGCTGGGGGGGCAGCAGGGTCAGATCCAGCCCCGGGGCAGGGGTAGTGGAGAGTCCAGCTCTGGGGGGCAGTGGTGACTGGGACACTGGGGGTCTCTGCCTTCGCAGACCCTCCACCCCCTACAACAAATCCAAGCGCGGGCACCGCGAGGAGGAGCAGGAGGACCTGACGAAGGACATGGACGAGCCCTCACCCGTCCCCAACGTGGAGGAGGTCACCCTGCCCAAGACAGGTCGGGGTGGGGGGCCGGCAGCCACCCCGCGGGGTCCCCCCCCGTGAGCGTGGGCTGGGGTGGGGACCCATCTTCGGGGTGCTCAGCGCCGCTTCCCTCCGCTGCAGTCAACACCAAGAAAGACTCAGAGTCTGCGCCTGTCAAGGGCGGCACCATGACGGACCTGGGTGAGTCCGAGCCGCCGGGGCCAAGCGCCGCGGCAGGTCCCCTGGCACCACAGACCTGGCAGTGCCTAAAACCACCCCTGCTCTTCTCTCTTCCAGATGAGCAGGAAGATGAGAGCATGGAGACGGCCGGCAAGGTGAGGCCCGGGCCCGTCCAGTGCCGCCCCCTCCTCCCCAGCCCAACACTCCTCCAGGGAAGATGTTCCCACCCCAGCATGGGGGTCACCATCGCTGGAGGGTCGCCTCTTTATCCCTCTTTCCTTGTCTCTCTTTTGGGTACAAAAAGGCCCCTTTCTGCCCTTCCCCTCACCCCTGGGGCTGCAGGTGGCTTTGCCCTGGGCCATTGGCCTCATCCTGCTCTCGGTGAGGATGAGGAAGGGCGCAAAAGGGAGGGCTCAGGACCCCCTTGCCCACGTGGTGCTGGTCTCTGGCAGGACGAGGAGGAGAACGGCACGGGGAGCAAGGGGGAGCAGGCCAAGAACCCTGACCTGCACGAGGACAACGTGACGGAGCAGACCCACCACATCATCATCCCCAGCTACGCCGCCTGGTTCGACTACAACAGGTACAGGACAGCTGAGGATGAGGACTGTGCCCTGGGGCGCCAGCCAGGCGGTGCGGGGCCGCCGTGCCGGGCCCTCCCCGAGCGTCTCGTCTTGCAGCGTCCATGCCATCGAGCGCCGAGCCCTGCCCGAGTTCTTCAATGGCAAGAATAAATCCAAGACCCCCGAAATGTGAGGCTGAACACCCCCCCACACCAACTTCCCCGTCCCTCCCGGTGTCGGCAGGGCCGCGCCCGGCACTGACACCTTGCCACTCTCCCCTAGATACTTGGCTTACCGCAACTTCATGATCGACACGTACCGGCTGAACCCGCAGGAGTACCTGACCTCCACGGCGTGCCGCCGCAACCTGCCCGCGG